ATATTATTAAACATTGTATGAGCATTTTGCACCACAATTAAAACTGGAAACATGGTTTCTCAAGCAAAAATAAGTCCTAAGTAGAAAGAACAGAATTAACTGTATGAGCATTAATTCCCATCTCTTTCTCATTTATTTAGGCTTACATAGGTATGGGAGCCTTTACTCAAATGCTAGATTCTGCTACTCCAAGATTTACATAAGCATCGCTTCCCCCAGATAATATTTTGTGACCAACGATTTCAGAAATATGTTGGTGACCCAGAGGGCTGGAATCACGCTGTGCAAACAGAGACATCTTACGGCCCATCTCACAACATGAGGCTATGCTGCCCGGCCCCCGCACAGGGCTGAAGGTCCCGGTGGGTCCCACATCACACACAGCAGCCCCCAAAGGTCTCTAGCACTCATCTGCAGGTGCTCCTGTTCAGACTCTTTGATCTGGTCCCAGGTGTCTGGCACTTGCTGGAAATCAGTTCTATTTCCAGCATCTCAAGCAAAGTATGTAAAAAACCCTCAATTAACACAAGTGACTTTCAAAAACCTTAGCCAGCTCTCCAAAAGGTCAGGGACAAGCTACGATTTTGAAGAAACGGAAGAAGTAGCCTCAAAACCAAGATTCATATGATTTTATTCTTATTTCTAACTATTTTTGAGTTGGAATACAAGCTGCGTTAGATGTAGTAACTCTGCTGTAAATGACAAAACACATTCCTGAATGAATGCTTCTACAATCCCCATTTCATTTTAATTTCTTGAAGATCACCTGCCTATTTCCCTCTCAGTTCTTTCTTAGGTGCTCCTCACTCCTTTCCCTGCATGTTTTTCCAATGAGCTGTCCTGCACAGAGACAGGACCAGCAGTTATTGTCACAAAGCAACAGACCTTACTAGCAATAACTACCAAACCATGTAATATTTCTCATATTTAAAACTTGTGTTTGTATTCTTACAGAATAATGCATCATTGTTTACACCATGCTGCACCAAATGAGAACAAATGTCCATGAAGAGCACTAACCCGGAGGAAATTAATTCTGACAATTTAAAATTTATAAAATATTCATTATTATCCTTAATACGTATTGCTATTTTGACAGCAGTAAACATAAAACTGAAGGATGACTTACTTAATTTCTCATTCAACAGCTAAGCAAGCTGAAGAAAACCAAGATGTTTTTTTCAAAACAGAGAGAGGAATAAATAAATAAATAAATAAATAAAAGAAAGAAAGATTGCCCTGTGAAGGCCTTTGAACTACAGCTTTGTAATTGCACTCTTCAGAGCCAAGGTTGGCATAAGAGAGTTTGTCATTCTGGCACCACATCAAATTTTCTGCCAACTACTTCAATGGCAGTTGCTTACACACACCAAGGTTTCACTGCTGCAACAACTGAAAAAACCCCAACCCCGCAAAGATGATGAAATAAGTTTTCAGGCAGCACAAAACACGACCACTGATCTGTGTCTTCAGAGAGACACACCTGACTCCTCATGTTTCCTCCCTGTAGCAGTGCTTCCGCAGGACTGAGTCCAGGCTAATAGGCCCAGCAGAACTCTAATTAGTTTGTACTGTGCTCAGTCCTGTGCCTCAGGACTGTGAGCAGCAGCTCATCAGTTAAGCAGGAATCTCTGCTGTGGTGTGCCCTTCATTCCCCTATTCCACTTGCAAGTCTCCTTGCAGAATAGGCTCCCTTTGAGCCGTGAAGCATAAAGGAAATGGAAATTTCCACGGACAGGTTCCCCAGCTTTTGCATTTTTGCATAATATTGATCGTGCTGCACAACACAGACAAGTGACTGTTCTTTCATCTTATTGTAACAGACTTGCCTCTTTCCAACACACCCAAGCAAGGTTCTTTTCTGACCTCACCATCTCCATGTTTCTTTCATGTTTACCTCAGGAAAATGTGAAAATGGTTGGCAAGTCTTTAATTAGGATCAAAACAAAGCTCTCTTCCCCAAATGGCTAAAAATATATATTTTAAAAAATTTAGTAAATTTGCATATCTGTTAGATGCTAGTATATACTGATCCACATTTTCATTCCAACCAGGGGTAGTGGACATCAGACAATATCCACAATATTAAAATTAAGACTTCTTTCTAATGCAAAGTACTAAAGGAAACAATCCTGTATTGGACAATAGCAGTTGATGGCCTGGTATTTTCTAGTACGTGGGATCATTTGAAAGCAAATGGTTTCAAATGGTTCCTAGGAAGTTTGTACCAGTGCTGTGTTTAAAGAAAGTCTTCCTAAATTTAAGACTATTAAATTATTTCAAGCACTGTAACAGTCTCCTCACACAGCTTCTAAAAGCAAAGTTTGAGACTTTATAATGGGTATTTCCCTTGTGAAAAGTCATACTTTTTTTTTTAAAGCATGCATATTAATGAATTTATACATAAGCAGGAGTGACTTCCTCCTAAAGCATTCCGGAGTATGAAAGTCTGTCGTTCAGAAAGCAACTCCTGTGGTAACTGTGTCATATACAGAGGCTGCAAAATTATCAAAATAACCATCAAAACACAGGAAAGTACTAAATATTGAAAAAGGCAAACAATGTATGAATATATGTCTACATTTTAAAGAATAAAATGCCAAAATAAGCCAAAAAAAATTCAGCCACCACTCTACATTCTTAAATTTCCTGCTAACTTTGCCAAAGTAATCTCCCATAGGTGTTTTATCAGCAGCCTTCGATCTCCCACTCTGTACATGCAACAGCAGACTACAGCTATTGAATAATGAAGATACTCCCACATTCCTCTCAGACTAATGATTGTTAAAATCTGTAAGCAATACCAGGAAGAAGGATGGTCTCATCAGTTAATGGAAGTCAGAAGCTTCCAGTTATCTTCTCACTTCTGTTAGAGATCTTTGGTATAATGATGGAAGAAGCATTTCATCTTCAGTACATAACTAAAAGAATGAGACTTGCAAGATCATGACAATTTACTTCTACCTCTGTTGATTTGGCAGTATGAACTAAAGCAAAAGCATTTGCAGTGTATTCCATTTGCCCTTCAGGTTGAACTCCGACCATGTCATGTTGCTCCATGCTGTTTACGTAGGGGGTTCAGAGTGTGACCATTGCCCTAAAAACCAAAATACTTCACTTAAAAAAAAAAAACCCAAACAAAAAACCCCACAACAAACCACACCACAACTGGTTGGATTTTTAAGCCCTCTTTTCTCTAAAGATCTCTAACAGAGTGCTATGCAGAGACAAATAACGCTGCACTCAAAGCAGCAATTCTTGTCACTGTAAGAAGTCAGAGTGGCTGAAAGGACCTAGCAGTTACATGCTGCTATCTACTGCATTATTTGGGGGGGAAGGCAGAGAGCTGCATTTAGGCTTCTGTACTTATGTTCAACATATTGTCAAAGTGTTCTGGTAGGCAGTAAAAGTGTGCCACAGGGCTCAACAACAGAGCAAAAGGTACAGACATACAGAACCAAGGGTATGCGAAGTCATTGAACTGACTCTTCCAGAGATACAACTTCAGCTCAGTCATGGACACCATGTATACCACTCTATGGTCTCTTGCTAAAAAGTCTTGGTCAAACTTACTTTGACCATAAGCTAGATCTAGCATTCACTGTGAAACCACTCGCATTACACCAGCAAAACCATCACGTGTTTTATGTGACACTGATGCACTTACACACTTGTTATCATGCTCTTGTACATCCTACTAGCATGTACAGAACTGTGTGGCATAAAAAGGATGGTCTTCAATTGCTGTTATCAGCTGTCAGGCTGTTGTGATGCTCATTAAACAATCAAGCTGGCAGCAGAAATAGAGACTACCTTCCCTCTGCAGCTGCTGCTTTTCAGCTTGCCACAAAGATAAGTGGTGACAATACTGGCAGAATGGAGTCAAAAGGAGCAAAGGCAAGACAACCCAGTTAACATTCCAGTGGCTCCACTGGTTGTGTTTTGCAAGCCCACCTGGATGTCCCCCACCTACAGTTACCAGTCACAGTTCTCAGTCCATCCAATGTATCTACCAAGTACTCTTAGGAAGAGTTTCTCAACAGATCAAGCATCCCCAGGGTACAAAGAATCATCTAATTCCACATTGCAGTCTCATTTTAGACAAGTCATTTAGGCTTATAAACAGTTACTGCCAATGTGCAAACTGCAACATTAAAAACAAACAAACAAAAAAGATCACACAGAAGCCTAGAAGCCTCTGGGACTGGTCTCCAACAGTACTTACAAAATTACTGTTACAAAATAAAGCAGAACATAGGCACATATGTATCTGTACTGTCCAAAGAAGTTGATATAAATATTGTCCTTGAAGCTGACAGATCTTTTACCGGAGTGAATAATATGTTGATTTTGTGACCTGTTTTTATGCAACCCAATCTGAAAGTTTAATTCATAATACAGCATGGAAACAGAGACTTGTACAAAAGGAATGTGCATTGCCAGCAGTTCTCTTCGTAAAACTCCTTGTATTTGAGAACACATTAAGCATTGCCAGTCCATGTTTAATAGTTATGTGTGTAAGCCATTCAAAACACCTGATTTTCACAGAAAGCACATAATTTTTTACATTACTACCCGATGATTGTATTAATCTGTGTAAGAAAAATATATGTAGCACGGCTGTCCTAATATAAAAAACAGCTTAAGAGAGAACAACGGGCTACTGTAAATACAGCATCTGTCAAAGTTAAATGACTACAGGCTGCATTTTTATCCACTTCATCCACAAACAGTAATTGCTGGCGTTAGCAGGAAGTTTTTCCTTCCAAAGAGACTACCAGAAGACAATTTTAGTTCTATTTAATGTAGTTTAATCTTGCTACATTTCAAAGCTCATTCTGCTGTTAGTATTCAAAATAAATATAAGTAAAATGTATACTTTACTCAGCATAAAGAACTCAACACAATCTTAAACAATAGTAGAAAGTAAAGTTCAAAAACCAGACTTAAAAACAGATTTGCAGCTATCTTTAAAAGAGTGAGGATTTATATGAACTTACAGTAAGATTCCAGTTGATCTGCGGTATTCTTGTGTGAAGATTTAGACTGAACATAAGCAACAGAACTCCAGTAACCACCAATGCACTACAGCTCACAAACTCGAAGAAATAAAGGCCTTCGCAAGGGGAGCATTCCATGATGGTCTCTATGCAGATGAAAGCAATCAGTGCCAAAACCTAGGAAGAAAAACAAGTAGAAAAAATATAAATAGATTTCCACATTTTTAAAATAGCCACAAGTATTCCTGAAATTTCCATTGGGAACATGATCAGTTTACACTCAGGAATGTGTGATTTTAGTTTATAACAGGGCAGTGTCTAAAGAGCAAAAACAAAAGCAAATTAATGCCAAGACTTTCTGGATATCTCCTGTTCAACAAAGTATATTTTAGGAAAATTACAAGGAGTCTAACATCAAAATGACTGAGACACCCAGAAAGGCATGAAACCCCTTCAGGCCACTGGCTTAATATGCAAATGGCACCTCAAACATTTTATTTCATTTTTCACTCATGATATGCTATTCCAAAACTTGAAGATGGAATGCATTTGTCTATTGGGCCAGCCTCAAGCTCAATTACATAGTATTAATATACTTGAGATCTAAATCAATTCAAAATAGAATAGATTCACAATCTCTACCAGCCTCCAAAAATGCCTGCTCTTTTCATTTTTTTTTTATCATCATAGGCTGTATTTCCTATAAAAACATATTTTATCATTCCTTTACTAATAAATACAATAAAACAAGCAGCTAATAGATTAAGAAGAAACTCCTGGTGCTGCAAACACATGCATCTAACTGGGATAATGGTTAGTCACACTGAATTCAGCGAGTATCTTGGTAGAATTAATATAAACGCAGACTTTCGCAAGACAGGAGTTTAATTTGCTGTTTAGGATAAAACAGTGAAACTCACTGTACTTAAAATCTGCCCAATGGACAAAACAAATATATAAAAACCATACACCAATATTAGCTCCCCCTTATACCTTATACACTTAACAACCCCCCCACCCACTTACATTTTTCAGAAAGGATTCACTTTTTTGCTCTGCCGCAAAATTCTAACGAGACCATAAGTCTCTTCAATTTGAGGATGAAGAACTCTGGGGGATAGCCTCCTCAGAGCTAAATATTCCATACATAACTTAAAGGTTTTGCACAAACAAAACATAAGTTTAAAAGATTGACAGAAGCCACAATTCAAAGCAATTTCTGCTAAATTCTTCTTTGCCAATTTCAGTGTTTTGCAGATACACTTTCTTTCAGCACTTTTTATGCTTCATCCATTAATTTGTCTTTACCTCTTACAACAAAACAAGCAAAATGAAGAAAAAGGATTTTGAAAGAAGTTACCATTTTAGGCACTAGCATCAGCAGTAATTCTAAGTAAAGGACAATACCCCGCATGCTTTGTTTGCCACATACTTCAGAATACAGTAGCTAATTTAAGTTTTAAAATGGATTAAAACAAAGCAAAAGTTTTAATCAAAAAATTCACACTTGGATAGAAAGTCTCTCACAGTTCACTTAGCACACTCTCTTTAAGAGAGCATATGCCATACTAATTTTTGCCAGCTAATAGAGCAAGCCAATTCACATCAAACAAATTCTGAATGGATACCCAGTGACTAAACACTTAACTTCAGATTTTATCTTTGACATTGAATAGCTTTGGAAAAAAAGAAAGAAAGAATATGCAGTGAAACGGAACATTCAGAAAGCCAGAACTGAAGTCAAACTACGATTTCAGCAGCGACACACACACACAAAAATACTGTCCAGAACACAGCTTCATTTTACAGTATTAGCATGTAATGAAGTCCACCTTTTCTGTGAACACAAGCCTCATAACAGAAGATGACACTGAATACAATTAAAAAAAAAAGTAAAGATCTTAAAAATCTTAGCTGTTTCAAGCAGGATCAATATCAAGTATTAATGCTAAATGTTAGCTGGTGAAAATTCAACTTTCAGATGTTCCAATATAATAAAGTGTCCATTGTTCTTGCCACTATTTTTGATATATTATGACACTTCTAAAATTTTTATTCTTTTAAAGGAAATGGTTCTGCAATATTCTCTAGAAATACTGTAGTACAAGCCTAAACAATATTAGGTTCATTTTCTAAAAATACAAACAGTTCTGAACTGTACCACCAACATTAGGCTGAAGGAGCCAAAAACTCTGGCACGCCAATCATTATGCTGGGCAACTGCTACTTGGCATATGGAGTCTCTGTTGTTTTGCTGATAAAAAATCTTACACTGGCTCTTCTCCATACCAGATAGCATTGCTTCTTCAAGGCTAACGTACCCATCTTAGCAGTCAAAGCTCAAAAAAGATGAAAGAGTTTCTTGCATACAGCATTAGAAATAAATTATGCACTGAAGAGGCGCTTGAAGAAATGAACTCTAATTATCACGTTACTTATATACTCCCAAGCTCAGATTTAATAATTAATAAACCTCAGAGCAATTCTACCTTAAGATTTCATTTTATCCCTTAAGAAATTATAAGACATTTACCTGCGACACACCCTTATAAGAAAAAAAAGTGTTAGTTGTGTACACTTAGGTTTGACTTAACCCAAACCATTTCAAATGCAAGTAAAGATGAAGATGTGCCATCAGTTTAAGTAACGTGCAGCGGCATTAGTGTTCAGTGGTCCGGGCTGTGGCAGCCCAAGTCTATTGATATGTTTATCAGAAAGGCTGGGAGAAAACCTCAATTGCTTCAGTTTATGATGGAGATTCTGGCCACAAAGTGGAGGCTGTGTTTTGGAAACATGCACAATAACTGACTATTAACAGAAGTATTACCATCACAGAGTGGATCAGGACACCTGAACACTTGTTGGTTGGGAGGACAGGGAAAGGAGAACATTCCCATGCATACAATTTATTTGTAACACTTTTGTACTTCAAGCAAGATTCCAATGTGTTACCATTTTTCTTGTGATAAAAATATATTTAACCCTTCTCAAAGATTATCTGTCCTACCAGTGCTACAGATAATACCTTCCTGTTAACGTACATTGTCTCACAATGAACGCTATGACAAAAAATAAAATCCAAATTAATCACCACATCAGAAAAAGCTATCCTCCCACAGAAACTTCCCTTTTTGCAAACACACACAAAAAAAAAATCTCAGTCTTTAATAAGAAATATTTTCCTCTTTGAAACATCAGGGTAATCTTGTCCTCCTACACATTTACAAACTTGCCAGAAGCACCCTTCCAATTAACTGCAAGTAATGTGCATCTTCTATAAAAACACACTACTGCTGCTTTCACTGGCCATTCCACTCAGAGATTAACCTAATTTTGTTTCTAATAAAAAAGCGAACTACTCTGAACACATGAAATGAAAGTGAAATACATTATAAAAATCAAACCCATGACTTACTCAGACAGCTACATTACTTAAAAGCGTTGTGTAAATGCTGCAACATGAGCCAAAGCAGCTTGCCAAAGGCCGTGGTTCATCCAGTGATCAAGTTAATTTAAAAAAAAGAACGTGTTAACATTGTAAGAAAAATGCTTCATTTTCTCTGCATTTTTAAATGTATGAAATAGATAATTTATGAGACACGCTATATAAATTAGGTAGTGAATTAATACAATTTTGCCACCCAGAATACCACTTGATTGACATGGCCATAAAGCAGACTGATGTGATCATAAGAGTGCCCCCAGAGTGCCCCACCACAAACTGCAGACAGACCAAAAGTCAGTCTTGGTCTCAGCTACCCCAGCGTATTTTCTGAGGGACTTCAGTGCAGGTTTAGCACTAATCATTTTCTCCTGTTCCCTCACAGAGCTCTGTAACTATAATGAAAACATCTTCTTTCTAACCTAAGTTTATCTCCGTTGCCTGTCTACCACCCATCACTGCCTAATGAATTAGCTAATCAACATGCAGCTCACAACTTACCAAGCCTCAAAGACCTAAAAAGTCACTTCTCCAAGAGCTTCCTATGCTCTTCCCTCTGACACACCACACATCCAAGATAAAACTGGTGCCTTGCCTTACCACATTGGCTATGCACACTCTCTTGGGAAGAGGGAGGAAGGACAAAGACCCTCCAGCCCTCCTGGGAAGCCTCCATGCTCCATCCAGACACCATTTGAGGGCACAGAGACTCATGCTGCCCCACGTGACTGAGGTGCAAAGCTGCAGCAAAGAAAAACCCTCACTCCCCAGCTGCTAAAGCTTTGCTCTTGCTTTGTAACACAAGTCACCAACACTACCTTGGAAAATCAGGAGACCAGATCTATCTAGGCCTGCATCTGCCTTCCATGATTGTAGTTACAGGACTAGCTAAAAAAAAAACAAAAACCAACAACCCTCAAAAAACCAGCATCCTATCAGAGCACAGGTCTCAGCCAACAAAATGCACACTGCCATTTGCCCAACGCAGGAGGCAACCCTCACTTTCGAGTCACGCCTCTTCTCAGTTTAGGGTGATGAGTTTTGACAAGTTTTTCCACAAGCAGAAGTTTCAAGGTTGGTTTACTGAGAAAAAATGAGAAGTTGAAAGTGGTAGAGATCTCCTCTTACATGAATTACTGCTGCCTCCCACAAATGACACAACTACAGCTTTCTTAGGCAGAGTCAATAGAGAAAGTTTCCTCTGATACACGAAACAAACCTTTTCATCTGTTTTTCTCCGCACCGAGTACTTTGGAGAGTTTTCTATTCCACCCTAATTCCTCCAATGCCCTAAGATTTGTATAACTCCCTTTTATTACTATCTTTCACTTCTTTAACAGTTGCTTTTGGTTTCCCTTCTACTCCACTCTTCTTGAAGTAAGTACAGTGGATATTGTGTCAATAAGCAACTTTGTCATGATGGAAATATCTGCTTATTGTACTGGATGCTCAGGTCCACTCAGAGGCATCCTAGGCTACCTGCAATACCACCTTTTCTTGAACAAAGGAGATGCAAGAGTCTGGTCAGGACAAAGCAGGATCAACAAGAACGAGCTTCAGGGTAAGCTGAGAAAAGATCTGGGTCTGCGCAGACTTGCAGCCCAATGTGTGCAATACAGCTCTAACTCTGTGATGGAGCAAACCTCCCCTCGCCCTTCATCCCTCATCTCCCACCACCACATAATGCAAAGGCAGAAGAAAAAAATCTCCAAGTAGAGGATTAAGTACGAGATGT